TGAAAGCTGGCACGATTTCCTAGATATCGGGGCGTCTCCGAATGACAATAATGTTTAAGTATCTTCAGATTGAATTGATGATAGCACACGTACGTGCTGTATTGACTTACAAATCAGTGATATGTGCATTGAATTTAAGCTACGTATACTACACATGAACAACGATAAGCAACCTGGAAATCCGCACAATTCCAATGGGTTCATTTTAATTGTCGACTATGAATAATAATTCATTGTTCTAAATTGTAACTTTCCATAAGGTGAGAGAAATGGATCAGCTCCTTTAAGGTACGCGCATAGAGTTGATATATAGAAGTTATTATCCATAAACGGTGTGAAGTATTTTTGTTCTTCCAACTTCTATCAAAGACTTCACACAGGGATAGTAGGGGGCACGGGTGGCCCAGTCGTCTAAGGCGCCGCGATTCGCTGTGCAGAGTTGCGTCCCTTGGGCACGCCAGAAACCTATGATTGTGGGTTCGAATCCCGGTTCGCCCCAATTATGATTCTAGGTTTGTCAGCACCATACCCGTGCTCGTGGGTTTCACCGAAGTGGTAAACGTCTAAAAACCTGCACCACTTCAGGCTTTCCTCCCACATTAAGCTGACACGCCGCGATATGACTGGAATACTGTTAAAAGCGGCGTTAAGCCAAACTCACTCACTCACTCACTCACTCACTCACTCACAGGGGTTGTATCATTTACAAAGGATCATCCACCAGGACGTATAACAGGTTGCCAGGTAATTTCTTACACAGTATGCACTTATACGATATAGTGTATAGTATGTTGCAGTCCGTATAATAGCCCCAATGGTGTAATACAATATGTTAAAATACCCAGACTGCATATTATTTTATTCTAATTCTGAACGAACACTCGAATTGGTATCAGACCGAGGTCTTCAGACAATAATAATAATAACTAAATAAGTAAAGCTAAAATGAGTGAGTGTGTGAGTTGGGTTTAAAGCAGCTTTTAACATTATTCCAGTTATATCACGGCCTGTCAGCTTAATGAGGGAGGAAAGCCCGGAGTGATGCAGGTCTTAGACGTTTACCAATTCGATGAAATCCACGAGCACGGGTATGGTGCTGACAAACCGAGAAACATAATCGTGGCGAACCGGGATTCGCACCCACAATCATAGGTTTCTTGCGAGTCAAGCGAATTGCGGCGCCTTAAACGACCGGGCCACCCGTGTTCCAGAGCTAAAATGAATTGCATGGTGTTTTCCCACTTTGTCAGACATCCCGGCTGAGTAATACAGGCACTTCAGTGACATGTGAACTGTGTTCATTCATACAGATATATCCGTGATAAATACTGTACACTTACAATAAGTAAAATTGGTGAGCTCGAATTTTTCGGTGTTTGTTGTGATTCAACATCGTAATTGATATTTGCATCTGGAAGTACAGATTATTACCACGAGCAACTTCTTTATTACAATTTGGCGACGTTTCGGTGTAAATTCTAACACCGTTATCAAGCAAATGATGTGTCGACGTTTCGGTGTAAATTCTAACACCATTATCAAGCAAGTGATGTGTCGACGTTTCGCTGTAGATTCTAACACCGTTATCAAGCAAATCTACACCGAAACGTCGCCCAATTGTAATAAAGAAGTTGCTCATCCATAACAATTTTGTCTTAGCAAGCAAGGACTGTTTACTTCGCTGTTATGTTCATTTTACCGTTTTCGTCAACCTTTATGCACCGGACTCCATAATGTATCAGTTGCTCTTTAAGCGCCTGTTCACTCACCCGAGGCGAGGGACCCAGATATAATACGTCACTCCAAGTTTGTTTTCGACAGTTTGCAAGTTCGCCGTTGCGTCAAGTGATTCATAGTGCCCAGCCGTTATGCGAAATGAGGACGGTATCAAATAACAGTGGCTCGCACTCTGATAACTTACGTCTGCCTGATAACTTACGCCTGTCTTTGAGCTGTAAATTTGCAAATCCATGGCCAGGCTCTCGAAGACTGTGAGGATAGGTCTGAGAGGTCCACTACCAGAGGTAATTATAAGTCCATCCCGGATGTAATTCAACCTAAGCGTCTTATCTCGACCGTCATGTGATCACAGTTCATTTTGACAGTTACCTTGTGCATGTTACCAGCGGATAAAGTAATGGTAACACTGGCATATGTTGCTACATAACAACCAACAGATTTCCAACACGTACATCTGGTATACATATTTTATTGAAATGCCTCCTATACAGGTAAAGGTTAAAAGCTATATCATGATACCTTGCAGCTGTAATGATGTAATGTACCAAACAAGGTACAGGTTAAAGGCTATATCATGATACCTTGCAGCTGTAATGTTATGTATCAAACAAGGTACAGGTTAAAGGCTATATCATGATACCTTGCAGCTGTAATGATGTAATGTACCAAACAAGGTACAGGTTAAAGGCTATATCATGATACCTTGCAGCTGTAATGATGTAATGTACCAAACAAGGTACAGGTTAAAGGCTATATCATGATACCTTGCAGCTGTAATGATGTTATGTAACAAACAAGGTACAGGTTAAAGGCTATATCATGATACCTTGCAGCTGTAATGATGTTATGTATCAAACAAGGTACAGGTTAAAGGCTATATCATGATACCTTGCAGCTGTAATGATGTAATGTACCAAACAAGGTACAGGTTAAAGGCTATATCATGATACCTTGCAGCTGTAATGATGTAATGTGCCAAACAAGGTACAGGTTAAAGGCTATATCATGATACCTTGCAGCTGTAATGTTATGTAACAAACAAGGTACAGGTTAAAAGCTATATCATGATACCTTGCAGCTGTAATGATGTAATGTACCAAACAAGGTACAGGTTAAAGGCTATATCATGATACCTTGCAGCTGTAATGATGTAATGTAACAAACAAGGTACAGGTTAAAGGCTATATCATGATACCTTGCAGCTGTAATGATGTAATGTGCCAAACAAGGTACAGGTTAAAGGCTATATCATGATACCTTGCAGCTGTAATGATGTAATGTAACAAACAAGGTACAGGTTAAAGGCTATATCATGATACCTTGCAGCTGTAATGATGTAATGTACCAAACAAGGTACAGGTTAAAGGCTATATCATGATACCTTGCAGCTGTAATGATGTAATGTACCAAACAAGGTACAGGTTAAAGGCTATATCATGATACCTTGCAGCTGTAATGATGTAATGTGCCAAACAAGGTACAGGTTAAAGGCTATATCATGATACCTTGCAGCTGTAATGTTATGTAACAAACAAGGTACAGGTTAAAGGCTATATCATGATACCTTGCAGCTGTAATGATGTAATGTACCAAACAAGGTACAGGTTAAAGGCTATATCATGATACCTTGCAGCTGTAATGATGTAATGTAACAAACAAGGTACAGGTTAAAGGCTATATCATGATACCTTGCAGCTGTAATGATGTAATGTGCCAAACAAGGTACAGGTTAAAGGCTATATCATGATACCTTGCAGCTGTAATGATGTAATGTAACAAACAAGGTACAGGTTAAAGGCTATATCATGATACCTTGCAGCTGTAATGATGTTATGTAACAAACAAGGTACAGGTTAAAGGCTATATCATGATACCTTGCAGCTGTAATGATGTAATGTGCCAAACAAGGTACAGGTTAAAGGCTATATCATGATACCTTGCAGCTGTAATGATGTAATGTGCCAAACAAGGTACAGGTTAAAGGCTATATCATGATACCTTGCAGATGTAATGATGTTATGTACCAAACAAGGTACAGGTTAAAGGCTATATCATGATACCTTGCAGCTGTAATGATGTAATGTGCCAAACAAGGTACAGGTTAAAGGCTATATCATGATACCTTGCAGATGTAATGATGTTATGTATCAAACAAGGTACAGGTTAAAGGCTATATCATGATACCTTGCAGATGTAATGATGTTATGTATCAAACAAGGTACAGGTTAAAGGCTATATCATGATACCTTGCAGCTGTAATGATGTAATGTACCAAACAAGGTACAGGTTAAAGGCTATATCATGATACCTTGCAGTTGTAATGATGTAATATACCAAAAACATGAAACACATTTAATCTAATATCCCAGTAATACTTTAGAAATACTTCGTCAGTAAATGTCCGTATAACCCAAAACACTAACAAGATCGAATATTTATGTACAGTAGATTTTCACTGTATACCACTATTTGAACACTATTTGCCTTTTTAAATGAAGGCAATATGCGGAGTGGCAGTAACATTACGAACAAAAGTGTATGCGATTTGTTTTTTTTCATTTCTTCAGTGCAGATTGTTTCTTTGATGGTGTATATTATAAATGGGAACATTGCAGAAGAATATGCAGAAGAACAAAGGGTGAATTTAATGTGTTAGTAGTGAGTAAGTGAGTTGGGTTTAACGCCGCTTTTAACAGTATAGACTGGGAACCGTCATTTGAATAAAACGCAATAGAAAAATATAAAAGCCATAAAAATGATAGATGTATGTGTAGGGAAGAAATATATGAACGTATTTGTATATATTATACTATGTAACACTGAAAGCAGTTTTTTCGAAACGCGAGTTTTCCAGAGTGTTGGATAGTTTGTAATATCCGGGACATATGTTTCAAATATACCAGATTCCTGATGCCTTTGAGGATTTATATCATCATAATTTGATTTGTGAACGGCAGATATCTGTAACGCCATTGAGCCTATATAGCCACAACTAATATGACTATGTACTATCCCCGTTGGTTATACCCCATGAATAAACGATTTCCTTGATATTTGATGTCAAAATCATTCAAGCGATAGAACGATAGTCAAGCAAAAGCTACATGTATATGACTAGTTGTAATAACATTATGTATATCGTTGCTTTGGACATGCATCCTCGTCTTTAAACAAAAAATATATAAACATTTTACAAAATAGGAAAACCAAACTGACATTGACTTAAGGCAATAGTACCGTCAAAAATGAACAGCAAAGCTAGGGTTTTGTGTAAGCATTTTGTTCAGTGTGTTCAACGTAATATGTCATCGGGAATATATTTACCCTCATAACGTGTTTAAATTATTTAAAGCAGCGAGATATATGATGTGTAAAATGTGTATGTTTGTGGCAAATGTGCGTGCGTGAATGGGTGAATGAATTGAGTTTAACGCCGCTTTGAACAGTTTTATGTCATGGTTTGTCAGCTTGATTTAGGTGGAAAGCCCGAAGTGGTGTTTCTCACTTTGGGGAAACCCACGAACATACATAGAAATGTAATCAGGCCGAATCGGATTGGAAACCAAGATCATCGGTTTCTGGCACATCAAAGGGACGCAACTCTGTTTCGAAAATTGAGTCTAGGAGAGGAACATGTACAATGAAATTATTAATGATAGGTGTAGGCTGATTAAGAAATCAGTTTTTGATTTTGAACATTCTGCAAATATATCCAAGTTCCCGTCCACAGTTTTTGTCATCAAGGGAACGCGTTTCGGGGAGGAGAAAGCCGCAATACTTCCTGCCTCGCCCGCTCAGGTGGCGACCTCCGAATACATCAAAAGACACTTCGCTTTTACTTCCTTCCCAAAACCACGTTCCCTTCCGTCCAATTTTGGCACCAGTCCATATCTCTGATGTATCTGCAAAACAGGAATTGAATTAAACCAGTTATGAAGGGAAAAAGTAAACCGTGGACGAATCAGGAAATCGAACCAACGATAAACTGAAAATTATATCAGGGTTGATATACATAACATAATACCTCTTAACAATTTATACATTGTGTGGATGTACACGAAGAGATATCATGTGTTCAGAAAGGGGACTTGTATCAGATGAACACTATCAGTTTGATGTTAGTCGACATCGACATGTACAAATGATTAGCTGGGTAAATTATTCGGGGGGGGGGGGGGGGGGGGGCAACAAACCGACCCGACCCTTTGAGATACTGATGAGATGATGATAGACTAATGAGGCTGGGGTTTTTAAATTTGAGACCTGTCCAATTGTGAGTCATGATGCCCCGACGGCGTGGATCCCTGCCCACATTGTCAAATATTGGTTTGCCGGACCCATGCTCGATAATCTCATTTTACCGATCGGCCTGAAATAGCTGTTGGATATGGCGTAAAACAACATTCACTCCCTTCCATCAGAGCGAGAGTGAGCGCTTCCACTAAAACAACTGCACAAGAGCATATACTAGTAATATTAACCTACCATATAACATAATCGGTCGTGGTATTATCAAGCATTGCCATATAGAGGACGGTAGTGTATCCTGAAGAATAATTTCATGACTTTGTACGAATAAATAGGACACATAGGAGTTTCTGATATACAGTAAACTACGTATATAACGTACACGCTTATAACGAAGTGACGGTTATAACGAACTATATTTTTGGGTCCTATCCATTTGCTGTATATATTCCGTACATTTGCTTATAACGAACTACGGCTATAACGAATTAAAATTAGTGGTCCCTTTGGGTTCGTTATAACCGTAGTTTACTGTAGTAGTGATCGCCACGGTATGCCCATGTGGGGAATTGGCGCGAAGAATGAACGGTTAAAACTGATACACTACCAACCACGATATATATATGTATAGAAGTGAACGAGTTAGAAGACTTGATTTATTGGTAGGTGAACTGGCCAACTCCAAACATTAGAAAAAGTTGTAATTTTACATTCTAAAGTGTTTGAGCAACCCATTTTTCTAAAATAAAACATTCATTAAGAAAATCCTGAAAACCCCTTCTCACATAGCTGCACCTATTTCAATGGCAGTGCAGGCAGCTTCGGGTGTATTATTACCAGCCGTACTGTTTGAAATAAAGGAGTTGATCAAACTATTTTATATTCAAATACTATTTTTTCAAGCGCAAAACGGCTCTACAGACACTATTGTAATACCGTTATGACGTGCCACCATTGTGGACGTTATATTTATGAAGTCATTTACAGCGGCTTCCTTTGCCAAACACACTGCAAATAATTTAGTGTGGACACTAACGATGTTATTCCTTCTTTGAGAGGCATCGCTCCTAATTGTAATAAAGAAGTTGTGTATTCATATATATTACCCACTCAGTACTATTAGATATAGTACTAAGTTTGTAAGGTTTATGAATGAACATCTTCTTTGGTACAATTTTATCCTTACTTAACGAGACTATTACATTCATACGAACGTTGCGAAATAATTCATACATTTCTATTGCACTCAAAGTACTCGTTCTTAAACTCGTAACGTCGCATTACACATACGGATGGCATAATTTCTATTTTACTACCTAGCGCATGTCAACTGTCATCTCCTGATTTCGTGAATAAATAAGGTACCCAAGAATGACATCTTCCCGAGGCAAGGGCGTTAACTGACTACAAAAGTCCAGTCCAATCAAAATCGCGCTACGAAATCGAAATCCGGTTTGTGAACTGTCATGCAGATTTCCGTCGATTGCAGGATTTGCAAAGCACCGCCAACCCGTTGTTAACAGAACTGATATTTTGCTTATCTTTTCATGTTTTAAATAAAGGTGCTCACGTGATTTGATGCACTTCGCGATGTAAGATTTATCACAATATAGGTCTTGATTATCAATCAGATCGTCTTGACTGGGCGCTATCATTTTGTTTGAAGCAAATGCAAGTGATACGAGAGGTGGAATCTGATTGGTCCATAGGAGAGGCATAGAAGGGACATAACTCGTAATAGCCACTGGTGGCACTACGATCGAGTCCAGGAATTCTAGCCCAGTTCGGCAATGGTGGAAACTGGACGTTTAAGTCAGTTTACTCTCTTGCCTCGGGAAGATGTAATGACAACAGATTTGCTAAACATTCAGACGTGTTTGAGGTTGGTAAAGACTGGATCATGATGAAAAATTGGACAAAACCATGATAAGCATGTTCAAGAACTACGGCTTACAATAAGTAAAAGTGGTGAGCTCGAATGCAAACGTTGAAGGAAATTAAAGAAAATAAAAGTAAATTAGAGTTATGATGTTGATTTCAAATATGCAAATGAGTGAATGAGTATGGTTTTACGCCGAATTTAACAATATTCCAGCAATATCACGCCGGGAGACACCAGAAATGGGCTTCACACATTGTACGTCGGGAATCGAACCCGGGTTTGCGGCGTGACGAGTGAATGCTTAAACCACTAGGCTACCCGACCGCCCGAAATATACAAATGAGACTGGTAGACGCGTATATATATATATATATATATATATATATATATATATATATATATATATATATGATACGACCCGTGAAGATCCGGGGTAGCATAGGTCTCCAGCTACCCATGCTTACCGTAAAAGGCGACTATGCTTGTCGTAAGGGGCGACTAACGGGATCGGGTGGTCAGGCTCGCTGACTTGGTTGATGCATGCCATCGATCCCAATTGCGATGATCGATGCTCATGATATTAATCACTTGATTGTCTGGTTTAGACTCGATTATTTACAGACCGCCGTCATATATATTATAACTGAGTGCGGCGTTAAACAACAAACCAACCAACCAGTAGATGGTACGGGTCAAAATAAGGAAAAGCATCGAACATAATTGTTGTCGCTGATGCACAACTTTTGAGCAAGACACCTGATCACAGTCACCAAGGATGCATTCTTAAATGAACATGTTACACGGCCTTGCATCTTCTACACGTGCAGTTGTAAAAGTCTTTGAAGCGCTTATGAAACACCCCTTAAGTTAGTGAGTGATTTGAGTGGGTTTAACGACGCTTTGAAAATCATTCCTGTTTTATCATGGCGTGTCAGCTTGATGTGGAGGAAGGCCTGAAGTGATGCAAGTCTCAAACGTTTACCACAATGGTGAAACCCATGAGCACTAGTGCCAGACCCGGAAACAAAATCCGGGATTCGAACCGACGATCATAGGTTTCTGGCGTGCCCAAGGGTCGCAACTCTGCACTTCGAATAGCAGCGCCTTAGACAACATGGCGACACATGCTCACTAATAACCCTTTACTAAACATTAAATTGTATTAAATCTATCGTATATTATTTTCAAAAACCCCTACTTTGTTTTAACATATATGTTAACTTGAGCAATTACCGTTTCCTGGTATGTTTGACACAAACTCGGCCTCTTCTTGTGAATAGATTTCAACCAGGAAAGCGTTCATCTCTTTACACATAAACTGAATAAAGAAAAGAAACATTTGTTAGATGTATTGTATAAGGTTAAACATCAATGAACGTAAAGTTGAAATACTGTATCACACGACCTGTGTTGGTCGCGAACCTTGTGGAACGAAGTATGTATTACGAGACTGACCCGACCTCATGGTGAGCACAACAAGGATCCCCTGCGAATATGGCACACTATGAATAGCATTGCGTGTTCAAAATGACGGAGGTGAGGTGAGGTAAAATTGGTTTTAAAGTCGCGTCCAAGATTATTGCACTTATATAGCGACGTGCATGCACGTTTGTGTGTGTGTGGCTGCTTGTACTAGTCCGGACTGCTGCCAATTTATAGTGCTAGCTCACTTATACCATGCCGCAGTTGAATACTCAGACACAGTATACTGACTCCGAGCCGACCAGTCCTTGTTTTAGCCCCTTAATGCCGAGCGCCAGACAGGGTAACAATAGGTACCATCTTTTAACGTCTTTTGGTATGACGCGGCCGGGGATCGAACCCCGGACCTTCCGCTCTCCTCCAATTGTCGGAATTCACTTCAATTAGTTATATGTACCACATGAAACTGTGATAATGAAACGTTTACGTTCGATTGTAGTACTGTGTTTGTTCACAGGCTGTTATATATTATACCAGCACCAATGTTTTACATGAACACCTAGGTAAGAATAGGTTTTAAGCAACCCATGTTTGCCGTAAAAGGCGACTATGCTTGTCGTAAGAGGCGACTAACGGGATCGGGTGATCAGGCTCGCTGACTTGGTTGGTGCTTGTCTTCGTACCCCAATTGCGTGGATCGATGCTCTTGATATCGATCACTGAATTGTCTCTCCAGACTCGATTATTTACGTGCCGCAGTCATATAGCTGGAATATTGCTGGGTACAAACAAACAAATATGATCACTTGAGCGCAAAATCTTACCTTTGCTATTTTCCACGAGGAGGGTTCAGTCACATGCAAAAAACACGAGTTTCGAAACCTCTTCCAGTGAAGGGGGCAATCGTTTTGGATACCTACAAAATAGACATTATATTTTCCTGTAACCCAAGGGTTTTTGCACAATGCATACGTGTCAATGAAACAGTACATTTACACTATAAATGCAGGATTCGGGGGCACGGGTGGCCCAGTCGTCTAAGGCGCCGCGATTCGCTGTGCAGAGTTGCGTCCCTTGGGCATGCCAGAAACCTATGATTGTGGGTTCGAATCCCAGTTCGCCCCGATAATGTTTCTAGGTTTGTCAGCACCCTACCCGTACCCGTGGGTTTCACCGAAGTGGTAAACGTCTGAGACCTGCATCACTTCGGGCTTTCCTCCCACATTAAGCTGACACGCCGCGATATAACTGGAATACTGTTAAAAGCGGCGTTAAACCAAACTCACTCACTCGTAAATGCAGGTTGCAATAAAATAATGTCGATAATGTCAAATAAGTACCTAAACTTATGTCTCAGGAAATATTATGGTAAGAAGAGAAAGAAATGTAAATCTAGAGAAAAGCCCAAACCGATAAAAATCTAAATTACTCTTTTCTGAGATTTAATATATATATTGAATGTGTAATATCCGTAACAATATAAGTATGATATTACCTATAGAATTAAGTTTCTCTTTGAGTATTGCTATTTCTTCGACAACGTTTAACATGGCTGTGTGGAGGGGGCGCACTGCGTACTTGACCACAACAGTCAGATCCTTGGACACATTGGTGATCTTAGTGGACAGTTCCTCCTTGTTGATGTCAACCTGTTCTAGGACTGACATCACGCTGGCCTGAACATTCCATAATGTGGAGGTCCTCCTCTTGAAATCTTCGTAATCATGTTTTATTTCCCCAATGGCATCCGCAATGGCTTCACTTGTTTCTGTTGAAAGATAACATTTCATTATTTATTGGGTTCAAGATGAGCGTGCTGTAAATCAATACATTGCACACGCGTTGTAACTAATACGCTACCAACATCGACGTTGACGTAATGCAAACAAACATTTTGGCGTAAAACGAACACACGACGTGATAATGACGTCATATGAGTAATGACGTTGTTGATGACGACAAAGAAGCATACTTCGTCACTCTATATGTGATATATATATTTTTTCATTTTTCTCATTCACAACGACCGACTCCTAACCGTTGCCTAATAGATACAGCGTCTGTCTGAAGAACGGAAGGTGGGTGATTCGATCCCCGGCCGCGTCATAATCAAAAGACTTTAAAAGATTGTTCTTGTTGTTACCTCCCCGGAACGCGGCATTAGATGGATACACTTAGGGCTGGCCGACTCGGAGTCAGTATACTGTGTCTGAGTGGGATATCCATATCAAAACTGCATGGTATCTCAGTAGACTAGTACTGTAAAACCTGCAAAAGTCCTTATAAGTACAAGCAGACACTATATACTGTATACTAATACTGAACGCTGACGTTACACCCCATTTCACCCGACCTTACCTTCTTTTCTGGACCGATTGCTATTAGCGGCATGTCTCAAAGACACTAAACGTTAAGATAAAATTACTCAGGCTCAAAGACATGTAGCGCACAGCTTTGGCAAAGTGACTTACAGCGTCCCCCCGTCCCAACCCCCCCCCCCCCCCCCCCCCACACACACACACACACACACACCACCACCTTCAGTTATGAGCCAGAAGGATGTTTGAATTTTGTCATTTGAACACTGAGTGAGTGGGTTGGGTTGAACATCATTCACGTCCACGGTGTATCATCTTGATGTGGAGGAAAGCCCGATGTCATGCTGATCTTGGGCGTTTTGTACACGGCAGAAACCCTCGGGCATGGCTTTGGTGCTGACAAACCGCGAATTGTGGACCCTTTGACGACTGGGCAACCCGTGCCCCCGTCATCGGAGAAAATTTAGAACTGTTTTCACATCAGTCTTGGTTGTTTGTTTGCCATCTAACACCGCACTTAATAACAATCAAGCGGTGTGCTTGTCACATGTACGTGGAGTGTTTACGTGCATGTTTTCTTTTAACAGTGTTATGTTTCGTGGACATGACATTATAACTTGAGTTGCATATCCTGTTACCGTTCCTGGGATAGTGTGTAGCACCACATGCCATTAACGTACTCTCTGTAATATGCGTTGTTAAGAAAGTTGTTGACATAAAATTGTTTGTTTACGCCATTACAGATAAGGTTCAAGTACATTGTCGAGTAATGTATGACACGAGAGCCTATGAAGCGCGGATAAATCGTTCGCTCGTCACAACGATGGCCCGGGCTCGATTCCCAACAATGCGTGAAGCCCATGTCTGCTGCCCCCCGCTGTGACTTTGCTGGAATAAGGGAGGCGAAAACCAATATGTTTTCTCACTCAGTCACTCACGATTTGCTTTTAGTTCCATACTGACGCCATTCCCTTCAGAAATCACTACCAAGGCATATGAATTTACTGTCCGTCAACCTGTTAAGGCGACTAACGGGATCGAGTGGTCAGGCTCGCTGACTTGGTTGATGCATGTCATCGATCCCAATTGCATGGATCGATGCTCATGATGTCAATCACTTGATTGTCTGGTCCAGATTATTTACAGACCGCCGTCATATAGCTGGAATATTGCTGAGTGCGGCGTTAAACAACAAACCAGCCAACCAAACACCTGTATGGTTTAAAAACTCGGCGCTCTTTATTGTTAACGGTGATCGTGTTGGACACATATTTATCAAACGTCTTTCTTTTGGAATGTTCTCCTGTACTGATCTTTAACTGAAGATGGAATCACTATCTTCTGAAATACTTTTGGTCCGATCAAAATGTCCGCAAATAACTGCCAGATTTCTGAAGTGGAATTAAACAATAATCACTCACTCAGTTAATCAGTCAGCAGGTAAACACGAATAATGCCTTGAACTTTCCAGGCTCTTCCCGCTGTTCCAAGTGAAATGTCCAGTTGTTAATATTCTCCTTTAAACACACAGCACTTTCAGTGAGTGAGTATGATGTTGCGTCGCTTTTAGCAATATTCCAGCAATATCATGGCGGTGGACACCAGAAATGGGCTTCACACATTGCACCTACATTTGTAGGTCGGGAATCGAACACGGGTCTTCGGCGTGACGAGCGAATGCTTAAACCACTAGGCTACCCGACCGACCACTTCAGGATTACTGCACTTTTAAATTCATGTTCCCATTTCTGCGGTATTTACTTATCTCGGTATGTCTCAAAATATGTTTGATGATCAATCTGGAAAGTGAGTAAGTGAGTGAGTGAGTTAGGTTTAACGCCGCTTTTAACAATATTGCAGTTATACCACGGAGTGTCAGCTTAATGTGTGAGGAAAGACCGAAGTGATGCAGGCCTCTGGCCTCACTTCGGTAAAACCCACGAGCACGGGTATGGTGCTAACAAACCTAGAAACATAATTTGGGCGAACCGGGATTCGAACCCACAATCATAGGTTTCTGGCGTGACAAATGGACGCAACTCGGCACAGCGAATCGCGGCGTCTTAGACGAATGGGTCACCCGTGCACCCCAATCTGGAAAGGGACATACTTATATCATCCTAATTATTTTAGTTTTCAGCTATCAATAATTCTATATCTATAACTTAACGTTTTTAGTTTGACTGGCTCTAATACTGTTCTTGTTATTCTTGTACAACATTTAGAATCGAAACCGGACCATAATAGGCTTGACGAGCGAACGCTTTTACCACCGCGCTACCCCACCGCCCAATCACGAACAAAGGGATGATTCACAGCAAAAAAGGGGCGGTCGGGTAGCCTAGTGGTTAAAGCGTTCGCTCGTCACGCCGAAGACCCGGGTTCGATTCCCGACATGGGTACAATGTGTGAAGCCCATTTCTGGTGTTCCCCGACGTGATATTGCTGGGATATTGCTAAAAGCGGCGTAAAACCATACTTACTCACTCTCTCACTCACAGCAAAAAAAGTGTAGGTTTCCGTCTGCTGGAAACCTTCCGGAAACCTTCCAAAAAAAATGTCAAAACTTGGGGGGTGCATTTTGTTCACTTAAGTGTTAAACACATAAAAGATTATCTGGAAAATACCAAGAAATTTGAAGGTCGCGCTACACCACCGCCCAATCACGAACATAGGGATGATTGTGTCATTGTTTAAGAATGACATTCACTCAGGTTGTTATATTGCATAACTGACTCTTGTCTCACAGTCGGACAGACCATGTGTGCCGACCCTGTGACGTGAAGTTGACACAAATCACTGGCTCCCGCTGTGTCATCTGGCTGGGTAGGCTTGCATCATGGGTATCTGGCTCACAGCAGGAGTGACAGTGCGTTAAGCCGCACATGTGAAACATAACATATCTGTTATGCAGGTGAGGTGAGGAGAAATGGGGTTTAACGTCGCGTTCAAGATTATTGCACTTATGTAGTGACGTGTGGCTGCTTGTACTAGCCCGGACTGATGCCGATTTATAGTACTAGCCCACTGAGATACCATGCCGCAGTTTAACATGAATACCCCACTCAGACACAATATACTGACTCCGAGCCGACCAGTCCTTGTTTTAGCCCCTTTATGCCGAGCGCCAGACAGGGTAACAACAAGTACCATCTCTTAACCACTTTTGGTATGACGCACCCGGAGATCGAACCTTCCGCTCACCGGGTGGACGCTCTACCACTAGACCACGGAGGCGGTCTCTGTTATGCAGAGGTCAGTTAGTGCATTACCTGCATTGAATATAGTTTAAGAATATTTATATTGATTTTAAGATATACGTTGATTTTGTTAAATTTTGTTTAACGCCGCACTCAACAATATTCCAGCTTTATGACGGCACGCTGTAAATAGTTGAGTCTGGACCAGACAATCCAGTGATAGACATCATGCGCATTGATCAACGCCATTGGGATACGATGACATTCATCAACCAATTCAGCAAGTCTAACCACCAAATCCCGTTAGTCGCCTCTTATGACAAGCATGGTTTTGCTGAAGACCAATTCTTTGCCGGATCTTCACGGGTCGATTTCACATTAGCCGATGATCTCAATATGTTATGCTAATACACATAATAAATAGGTTTTCATCTGCCAAATATTTAATGTTTTTTCATCTTGTTGTGTTTCGGGTTTAGTACAGGTCCACAATTTTTATTTTTTTAAATTTTTATTTTTATTTCAATTCAGTAGACATAAATGAAACATTGGCACATGAGGTATATAAGTGTAGCAATTTATAGAATCTTATAACATGATCAGATATGGATATGTACATATATTGGATTGACTGAGAAATTATTTTAAGTATGCTGGTAATGCCTTTATTAATACTACTATTTTTGATGGCGATTAATTTTTCTATTTTACATACATCTTTCAATATTTTTTATGACGAAAAGAAAGCATAATGAAGTTTTCTTAATGCTGGACTACAGGTCCATAATTGCCCATGTTTGTCGGAGAGTGTCGGAGAGCTGGTTCTCGAGCTCTCAGTCAGTGGTTTATCGCTACGGCGATATGGTTGGAATATTGCTGACTGCGTTGGAAAACAACATTCACTCACTTACGAATGAGTGTGAGTGAGTGAGTTTGGTTTTACGCCGCTTTTAGCAATATTCCAGCAATATCACAGCGGGGGACACCAGAAATGGGCTTCACACATTGTACCCATGTCGGGAATCGAACCCGGGTCTTCGGCGTGACGAGCGAACGCTTTAACCACTAGGGTATCCGACCGCCCCACTTACGAATGGTTTGATGTGTTGAACAACTGCGTGAAAATCTATGTTGTTGATTTTTCCTCCGCTTATAAGCACTGACGGGCTTCATTTCGAAGGAAATATTTTGTATTAATGTATAATATAACAGTTAATAATTGTGTATTCGATCCATTTCCTGTTTCAGCTTGGTATTTGATATATCGTATAGATTACAGCACCATATCACAGACGCAGACGGAAGTGATCACTTAAATATACGCCGTTACACGCCCAGAACACAATGTGAGATATGTGTACCAGGATATATGTTTATAACCCCGGCTACTCGACATATGTCGCCACAGCCGGTAGTGTGTACATCTGGTGTTGTGAATGAAGAGTTAAATAGTTACCTAAACCACACTGAAACGAGAGTCAGTGATAAAGTTTAACATTTAACATCGCATCTTGCAATTTTCAAATGACGAGGTAATTGCAGTTACGTTTATTTCAATGATGTTTGTTTGTTTGTTGTTTAACACCGCACTCAGCAATATTCCAGCTATATGACGGCAGTCTGTAAATAATCGAATCTGGACCAGACAATACAGTGATTGACATCATGAGCATCGATCCACGCAAATGGCATACGATGACATGCATCAACCAAGTCAGCGAGCCTGACCACCCGATCCCGTTAGTCGCCTCTTACGACAAGCATAGTCGCCATTTACGGCAAGCATGGGTTGCTGAAGACCTATTCTACCCCGGATCTTCACGGGTGCCCGAGGACACGTACATTGTGTCCTTCACGCTGCATATATGACTGATTGATCAGTCCCTAAATATAATTTAAATGCCTTCCCCCCACCTACAGCTGCGATAGGTTTTGGCGATCCCACTTTCGCCGTGTCATTTATTCATGGCAGCGCTATCCATAACACGCCCCCTTCCCTCCCCCCTTCCCCCAAACATTTGTTTCATATTATGGCGTTACCCTTTTCACCGACCTTGTGTTCTGCTAATCCCGGCTTGCACTGTGGCGGCGTCCTTCTGCATACCATGCATTTCACCCTCTACTCTTGCGAAACGCATGTCAGTGAGTCGCTCCGCTTCTTTGACGTGAGCGTGGGAAATATTGAGTCCAGTGTTGAGTTTATCTTCAATTTCGCCTGTTTTGTCTTGAAGTTGGTCGAGGGAAGTGTTTAAGCCGCTGTTGATATCCTCCAGTTTGGAATTGAAATAATCCAACCCTTCAGCGAATTTCTCAAACGCACCTTTCATTCTTTCAGAAAATGTGTCCATTTCAAACCGTAGACTCTCAAACATTGGTTGATGTGAGCTGCAGATGTTTGCAAGTCCTACAATGATGAGCATGAACAAGACGGGCTTCTGTGAGACCTCCATTCTGTGAGATCCCCGCGGATGCACGTAGACACTTGCCCGGGCTTCAGAAATGAATGCTCTTTACATTAAATATACGAGAGTTTCCAGACCCGGAAGGAGTTTGTTACGATTAGAGTCCCGACCCGGTAGTTCGGTTAGCTCAAATTCACAGTCATACATGTAGGGGCAATGAGCTACTTATTCCGGGGAAAGAAATAATGCTTCAACACTTGTCAAAATGACCATTCACGTATCCCTATCACATGAAAGCTTAAAGGCTCATGAAAGTGTTTACATACACTTGTTTGTAAAGTTTACTAACTTAGTGAATTTCACTGTCCACTCAGACACTAACATCTAAGTAGATTTTACTAACCAGTTAGTATTTTGTTTCCCCACAAAAAGGTTTAATGGGAAGTAATTTCTAGTGTAAGTGAATTTCGCTGCCCACTCAGACACTAACATGTTAGTAGACTTTACTAATCAGTTAGTATTTTGTTTCCCGAAAAAAGGATTTAATGGGTAGTAATTCAGAAAAGTTTCATGTATGAGAGAAATACTATGCCCCATCAGCTTGGTTTATTTGTACATTGTTATGTTAATATTGTACCATGTTCGTTTTAAGTCCTGGTCGAATATGTGTTATGCAAGTGCCGGTGAATCTGATTTGCACATTTTGATAAATATAATTTATTATACTCTTCAAATAAGGAAACGCACAGGTAATATGTGGAACATTGAAACTAACTACACAAAAAATCCGGTATATAAATTGAATATGCGTTATTGGATATGTGTTGGTGGCTTGATATTCGTCAAATGGTGAGTCAAAACGCAGCCAATATCGATTTTGATGTCTTAAAGAGCATTGTTTTCACACTTGTTAAAAAATGTCATGAAGGAAAAACAGTAAAGCAAAATGCACGTGCAAGTTATGGCATTCGTAACTCGTGGTAGTGGCTATAAAAAGGCAAGCACAAGAAAGTTATGGTAGTGGTAGTGGTTATAAAAAGGCATGAGCCAATAATTTGTCAACATTTTTCAAGTTCGAAAATACCGGGACTCAACGCTTCCGATCGGAACATCGCCAAGGACGTATCCAAAGAGGGGAATCGCAGTCTTCTGTTGCAGCAAATCGCTACATGCATCAAGTTCGTCAGCCTCACCTTCTTCCAATCATTGACCGCGAGAGGGAGCTGTTTCAACAGAAAAAAACACTCCACCGCACACAGCTCGTGTCACGGTAGACTACCCTCATAATGCCAACATCAATGCCTTGCCCTGGTCGTCGAGATGTCCAGATCTCAACCCAATCGAACACCTCTGGGATGAACTCGATCGACGTCTACGTCAACGTCAGAACACGCCGCAGACACTCCAACAACTGGCCAACGCGTTACAAGTAGAATTCCACAGGACAGAATTCGTACACTTATCAAGTCAGTGCCGAGGAGATGCAGAGCCGTTATTGCTGCCCGGGGCGGTCACACGAGATACTGAGTTCAGAGAAACCTTGTTGCCTTATGTGACATGACAATAAACAGTTTTAATGCCTTTGTACAACGACAATATGTGACTACCGAGGGCCAAAATTTAATATTTGTATCTATGATATTAAATTAAATATATCGACTTTATTGGGTACAATACGTTTACTTAAAATCTACCTGTGCGTTTCTTTTTTTGAAGAGTGAATCTGTTATACATCTCATCCATATTTGACGTATAGCCTGGTTACATGCAATTTATTAAACATGTTTATATTCTTAACGTGTTTAAAAGTGTTAACTTTGAATTCTAAACATGCTGGCAGGTGTTTAAATGCTAAACATGTTTAAAGGTGTTTAAATTCTAAACATGCTGGAAGGTGTTTAAATGCTAAACATGTCTATGATATAAGTATGTCCCATTCCAGGTTGGGGGGCACGGGTGACCAAGTCGTCTAAGGCGCCGCGATTCGCTGTGCAGAGTTGCGTCCCGTGGGCACGCCAGAAACCTTTGATTGTGGGTTCGAATCCCGGTTCGGCCCGATTATGTTTCTAGGTTTGTCAGCACCATACCCGTGCTCGTGGGGTTCACCGAGAAGTGGTAAACGTCTTAGACCTGCATCACTTCGGGCTTTCCTCCCACACTAAGCTGACACGCCGTGATATAACTGGAATAATGTTAAAAGCGGCGTTAAACCCAAATCACTCACTCACTCATTTTACAGTGTGGAATATATTACTGAAATGCCTGATATTTACCTATCTTTAGCATCTTCGTATAATCTACTAGGCAGGATAGTAAAATCGCTGTTTTCTAACCTTCTGGCCGCTGTTTCTAATTAAGTTAATCGAAGTCACCAGGCGTTCTTTTCAATGTAAATACAACCGGTCTTATAGGGGACTTCCGTATGTGTATCGTTCATGGGTAACTTACATAATTAACGAATATAGATGACAACCAGAAAAAATAAACTTCCACTTTTGATTAAAGAGTGATCAATTACACGATTAATTGATGTTAAACAACTAAGGTCCGAGATACTGTTAGCACACGTTAGTTCCAATAGTTCCCAGTTTTATGATCGCAACATCCATCATAAGGGGTATTTATCGACACACTTATACAACTGTCAGACGAATCTGCAAACTTATATATAAGAACAAAAGAAGAACATGTGAATTTGTGCTGCATATTTGAATATTTAGCATTGTGCCGTTTGAGTTTGTTGAAAGCCATTAACGTTACGAATGAAAGCCATTAATGTGACAAGTGCTATATGTCAAATGAAGCGACTCTCGACGGAGGTGATATTTGTCTTGCGCTATCATCCAACATTTATATAAGCACGTTTTTATACAAGAAAGGATCTTTTATGACGTCATCATCGAAGTACAACCATTTTAAGTTTAGAAATAAACATAGGCGAGGAGTATATTGTGTAACAATAATGGTTGACTTCTCTCATGATTATTATACTTCTTGAAGTCTCTGTTTGTTTGTATGTTTGTTGTTTAACGCCGCACTCAGCAATATTCCAGCTATATGACGGCGGTCTGTAAATAATCGAGTCTGGACCAGACAATCCAGTGATTGACATCATGAACATCGATCCACACAATCGGGATCGATGACATACATCAACCAAGTCAGCGAGCCGCCTGAGCACCCGATCCCGTTAATCGCCTCTTACGGTAAACATATGGCAAGCATGGGTTGCTGAAGAGCTATTCTACCCCGGATCTTCACGGGTCCTTCCTGAAGTATTCAAAGTCGTATTCGTTAATAAGACGTCAAACTTCATACTACAAATACGATATTAATAGCCCAGTGTGTCATGAACATTCCACGACACAAGACGCTGATATACTGATATACATTCAGCCTGCCTGGATCAGACGCGATTATGTTCAGACTGCTAGCGTAAAAAACAAAAAAAACGCTCACAGGCCGTAATGTTGACTCTGCCATGGCGTTTCTTCGTATTTCTTTCCGGAATGTATACGTATTACAAAAAAGCATCGAGCACATATGTTATTCTAGTTTGGCATTGTACCGGAATTCAGTGGTGTTTATGTGACTGATAAGCTTGATCATATATTCATTGTTAAATTATACTTCATGTGTCGCATAGATGTATATGGAAGTCTGTGAGACATTCGAAAATATAGTAAACTACGGTTATAACGAACACGCTTATAACGAACTGACGGATATAACGAACTTACTTTTTGGTCCCGACTACTTGCTGTAGTCATGCTGTATATGTACATATAACGAACTACGGTTATAACGAACTAAAATTAGTAGTCCCTTTGAGTTCGTTATAACCGTAGTTTACTGTATAGCGATTTATCCAAAAGCAAACTCATAAGCGCTGAAACGATTCTGTTGAGACTAAAGATTCGCCCTGAAATCCGGTTCATGGGGTTTGAATCATATGAGTGGAGATTTACTGTGTGTATTACAATGTAAAAAATGTGTTTAGAATGTAAACACAGACAAGACATGTTTAAATCTAAACATGATCTGGACCCACTTGCACAAAGCGATCTTAGCGCTAAGATGATCGTAACTCCCATACTTTAACATAGGCTTACAATAGTGTTCAAATCTTAAACCGAATACACAGTTGGTGGGTTCTATCTAAACGCATTTAGGCCTAAACACATGAAATGAGCTTTCGTCTCACAGCCTAAACACCACCTAAACGCAACATCCCCATAATCTAAACATGTTCAGAATTTAGATTTTAAACATGTTTAGATTTTAAGCATGTTTAGGAGTTAAACACGTTTAGCCAATTTTTTTATAATTATTATTATAAACCTGATGCAATGCAGAGCATATCATTAGGCAATAAGTCAAATATGTATATTAATATATATTAGATAATGGTAATGCATATGTGGAAAAGAGGTATATTAATATATATTAATATAGACTACGAAAATTGACACTTATAACGACAACGTTCTCTAAGCACAGGTGGTGGCGTGAAGGGCTACCAAGCAGGGTTCGTATCCCGCCGAGGTTTATAAATCTATATGTTCATAAATCTGTTGTAGCTGTGTGCCTTACAGTATTTCTCTTATACAGGTGAGTGAGTGAGTTGGGATTAACGCCGCTTTTAACAGTATTCCGGTTATATCACGGCGTGTCAGCTTAATGTGTGAGGAAAGACCGAAGTGATGCAGGTCTCAGACGTTTACCACTTCGGTGAACCCCACAAGCACGGGTATGGTGCTGACAAACCTAGAAACATAATTGGGGCGAAACGGGATTCGAACCCACAATCATAGGTTTCTGGCGTGCCCAAGGGACGCAACTCTGCACAGCGAATGGCGGCGCCTTAGACGACTGGGCCACCCGTGCCTCCTCTCTTATACATGAAGCTGACAATGAAATCATATATAAATACTACGATATACCCGTAATTTCATTTAGTAACTAACTCCCACCCGCCCCTAAATTAATCCATTTATACTGCTAAAAAGTTTTACCCTTGACTTTAAACACGTTCAGCTGTCAAACACAATCATGAACATGTGAAGACCTAAACATGTCAGAATTATTGGACAAGGAGCGTATCTTATTTTGTGTTTAAGATCTAAAGACATGTTTTACAGT